TATTCAATTAATAATTTTTTCAAATTTAATTTATTGTTTCTTCTCTAAATAATAAGTATTTAGAGGTAATTTTATTGTTCTATTAGGATACAATCCGGGCTTTGCTCGCATATATATTAGAAAATTTAGTCAATTAAATTTAAATTTTCTATTTATTTACTTTAATGTGTATGTAAATAATAAAAAATAATGCAGTGTTGTATCTAACTTTTTATAAAAAATTTAAAAATGCATGATGATAGTATTAGTTTTTTTGGGTTTACTGAAATTTATATTTACAAATTAAAATTCTTTTTGTTTTTTATTTACTATATTCTATATGTATTTATCTCATGTTGTACAGTTTTATTGGTTCTTCTTTGTTTTTATCATGGTTCAAATATAAAACCATATGTGAATGATCAAGACAATAGTGAATGTAAAGCAGACTGTCGATGCCTCCATCATACAATCAACTATTCTCAAAGATATGAAAAAATAACATGCAAATTATTTATTTAGGTTTGATATCCTAAGTAGCATGACTATTTGTAAAATAAACCTAAAATCAAAAAAGTCTCCAACTAAATACAAAGTGGAATATATAACAAATGTCCAAACCTTAGACAATTAGTTTGAAGATATGTAACTATACATGCCAGATCTGAATTCTATTGTATCTATATTGCACGGGCTCATGAAATTCTAATTAAAATAACAAAATTATGGTAGATTTGTAAATAGATGAGGGTTATGTTATATTTTCTTCTTCTTAGACTGGTTTTTAAAAAATTTCATTGGTGTATTCAAATACAATTAAATAAAAAAAATAAGTTGTTTATTCACCATCCAAAAGTTTAAAGATTCAAGATCGTATTTGTTGTTACTGGCCTATGTATTAAATGATTCTCAGAAACGATATGCTAAATTTTATCTATAAAATTAAAATTATTGATTTCTAAATTTATTAAACAATGTCTTACCTAAAGTTCTTAGTGGGACATTGTCAAATCGTTTGAACACATGGGTGAAGAAAGTTGACAACAAAAAGACTTGTCCAATGATGTTAAGAACGATCAATAGTCAAGGTGAAACAAAAACCGGTGAAATGATTGAAGAGCTGATCATAGAATGCATAAAGGGGATCGGGAACGAGAATGTAGTTCAGGTAGTAACCGACAATGCTTCTAATTATGTAAAAGCTGGTGCACTTTTTTGCCAAGTTTTCTTCTATCTTTTTGACACCGTGTGTAATTCACATGTTGAACCTTGCCTTTAAGAACATATGTGCACCATCATTGAACACAAGAAACAAAGACGATATGTATGAAACTTGTTATCAAATAAAATCGATAAATGAGGATGTGATTTGGAACAAGAATTTCATTATGAACAATAGAATAAGCATTCTAATTAATGTTTACTAAGCATTGGGATCTTAAACTCCTTACAATAGCTTCTAAAAGGTATGTAATTTTCTTTGTTAAGTTAAATGTTAGATATATTGTTAAATAGAAGTTTATTAAATTTCATTTTCACATGTTTGCCTCCACAGTTGTGATGTTGAAGCGATTCGAAAATATAAAAAACCGGCTTGTTCGAATTCTATTTAGCTTCAGTTCTTCTCCTCATTTCCAGATCAAGTTCAACCTTCCATGATATGTGTTCATGAAGTTCCTACGGAGGAACTGTGCTCTTTGGAAGCTAAACATTACTCTAGCCAAACGGGATATGAAGGGGAGCAATTGGTAAAAAGTTTATTGCTGCAAAATGAAACGATTTGTGCCAAAAAAATCGATGGAAATGTTGGCATGGACTGATGCAAATTCAGAACTGAAATTACACAAAGTCGTTTGTTCTTCAAACGAACAAATCACATGGTTTTTCTTCGAAATGGCGGATTGGTGTGAGCAGTCAACATATGTCTATGGGCTGAATGTGGTTTATATACTACACTGGTTTGATAGAACCACTTGGCTTACCAATTCTTGGTGGAGTAAGTTTTTTAAAGACTGGTGTTTTAAGTACAAAACCGAGATGGCGAAGAAACGGAAACTTTGAGGTGCTAAGAAGTGTCAACAAAGGCTTAAATACAACAAGTTCTTATGATATTGAGATAAATCCGTCTCATCATTACTCTGTAAATTGGAAAACCATGAACCTTGAGGTCAAGGTTCTCTAATGAAGGGAGAGTTTTGTTTGTCGTTGGGCTAAAGAGTTTTTAGGGCTTAGCCCGACTGGGCTCGGACCAGCCCGAAAAGCCCTTAAAAATAAATTTTAACTTTTGATTTTGTTAATATTATAGTTTAATTAAGAGATTTTTTTTAAAATAAATTTTAATAGAGTTAAATACCCTAAACGTAGTTTTCTAATTGGGTCTTACTATAAGTGTTTTGATTTTATATTTTATTTGGTGTGCGTTCAAACAATTTATTTGGATTATTTATTTGATTTTAAACATCTTTTAAACTAAATTGGCTGTAATGGTTTATTTAAATTTTGATTGACTCATTTTATACATATAGATTCTTTTTTTTCAAGAGATATTACAAATTAGAAAGTTTTTTTTCCTCGAAAAAAAGTCCAAAAAAGCCCGTAAAAGCCCTGTAGCCCTGTTAGGGCCGGGCCGGGCTTCAAAATCTAGACTCGGAATTTTTACGGACCGGACCGGACCGGGCTCAAACATATACGGATTTTGCGGGCTTCAGGCCGGGCCGGGCCGGGCTAGCCCGATTGACATGCCTAATTTATGATGAAGCAATTTATGAAATAATTGAATGGCCTATATGAAAGTATATGTTTTATTAAAAATACTATTCTATAAACTCTTTTATACCAATATTAATGGTGATATATGAAAATAAAATGTTTATTATTGAAATGGATCTTAAAATAAAGATTAAAAAATGATAATAATTAATTTATCAAAAAATATTTGTGAAACAATATGTGTGAACATGTTTAAAGATTCTAATTATTATGAGGATAAGAAAAAAGAAAGTTTTTAATTATTATTTATTTAAAAGCTTTATTATTTGTTTGAAAGCCTCATATTTGTGGCTTTAGAAAATTGAACGTGAAAAAAAAAAAGTGGACAGTTAGACTTTAAAAGCTTTAAAAAACTAATAAAGACCTAAAATTGTGATTGGTAAATATTTGACTTTTAAGACTTTTTAAAAAAATGTAAAGCCCTTAAAGCCTCTTCCAATCACCCCCTAGGTTTAGATTTTAAATTCTTGAATCAATTAGATAATTCAGTTTGTTCAATGAAAATATCAAGAAAGTTTTCTGTGTATTTCAGTTTACTTTTGTTTTGTTGAAGATTACATTATTTACACTAGATTTTGTACCCGCGCGATGCGCAGGATTTTGATTTAAAATCTGTTCTATTAAAATAAAATTTTCAGCATAAAATATATTCATTAAATTTAAAAGATAAATATTTGAACATAAAATATAATAAGCGATACACAACATATATATTGTCGAAAAATTTATTCTTTTCGCGAATTTCTTAAGTGATCTTTGTTACAACGTGATATATTCCTTAAAATGGTTTGATATATATCGATGACAAAAAAAAAAGGTTTGATATATATCACGTTGTAATAAAGAGCACTTAAGAAATTCGCGAAAAGAATAAACGGTATAGACCACCATTTAATCTTCTTGTTTAAAATTTTACATATAGAATACAATAAATTTAGTTTTATACTTCCATTCTCCATGCATTTAAATTTACTTTCATTCTAAAACTCATTAACACATTTAAAAATTTGAAGTATGATCATTTTTAAGATTTATCTAATAAAAGTTAAATTATATTATTACTACTATTAAAATTTTAATAATGTTATATTTTATTATTCTAACATCTCCTTTATTTTACATAATTCGTTTTTTTTTATTAATTATGAGTTACATAAATATTCACTAAATAAATGTTTTAAGTTTATTTTAATGTTACAATAAATAGTGTTGCTTAGGTGGATAGGCTAGATGGAGAGAGGACTCTCCTATTTTTTTATTTTTTTTGTAGGGAACTCTCCTATTATATATACAGATTAGAACTCCATCAATAATTTGAATAGTAATTGTTAACTTACAATTTAATTTTTGGGGAAGTTTAAAACATGACGCAACATATGTCAGTAGGGCAAGAGTATATATAATATATATATATATATATATATATATTTCTTTTTATATAATTTGTTTTTCTCAATATCTAATTTTGACATCTCTAGTAATAATAAATTATTCCCTTTATTTCAAAAATAAGAGGTTTAAGGTAAATGCACACATATTTAGGTCATTTAAGAAAAAAAAAACATTATTTATATTTAGTTAAAAAAATTTTAACCAATCATAATAAAGACTGTAAAATTTAAGTAATCACAAGTTGTCAAATGCATTTAAATTAACATTGATGAAACTTGTAAAACATCTTGTAATATGAAACAAGATAAAATTCTTAAAATATCTAATATAATGAAATAGAAGGAGTAATTAATTAAAAAATAGAAAATGTTATTAAAAATTAAAAAAGAAATATGAAATAATTAATTATTTGGTTAGCACAAATTCTGGAACTTCGAACTTTTAGCTAATTAAATTTGGTTAACCATACTTTTCGAGTGAAAGCTTCCACTTAGGATCAATAACTCAACCTCCTCTTAAGAAAATCTAGAAACAAAGTGAGCCATCACTATTTGGTAATACTCATTAATTTTCAATCTAAAATTAAAGAATATATATTTTTCCAAAATATTTACTTAATTAAAAAATACACTCATCTAAAATCTATTAGTATAGTTTATAAAAATATTATTATAACTAAAGTAAAATTTTGAAAAAATAGTATTAGTATACATCAAATTATTTACATGTAGTTCTCAAGATCTTAAGCCTATGGGTTGGATCATTAGATAGTTATTTATGGATCATAAAATCTAAGAATATGGGCCGAATCATGTGCTGAATAATTAAAGGCCCAAAAAGTCCATTAAGAATATCAAGAAAATTGGAAAATCGAGAATAATGGTGGAAAACGCAAATGGCGGCAGCGATATCAGCGACTTTGGTGTTCGCTGCAAGACGACGTCCTTTGGTCTGTAGTTTATCATCGTCTTCTTCGAAACCAAACACGAGAAAGCTTGTTCTTTACTCCAAACCTGGTTGTTGTCTCTGCGATGGTCTTAAAGAGAAGGTTAACGCTGCTTTCTCTCTCTCCTCTGGTTCTGATTCACTCAACGACGTTACTCTTCAGGTCTCACTAATCCAATCTCATAATTCTGATTCAATGTTTGTTAAAATGTTTTGAGTGGAATTGAAGATTCTTGTTGGATTAAGTGTTACACATAATTTGAAAATTAGAGTTACTTTGTTGAAATTCATGGCATTGATGTGATTATGTTGGGCATTGTTATGTTAGGTATATCGCTACGATTTCTAAAATGGTATCGGAGCCTCGTTGACGATGATTTCGAAAAGAATTTTAAATTTGGAGTGAGTTTGTTGGATTTATGTGATTCTGGATTGGATTAGGTTGATGATTACATGAACAGAATTTGAAATTAGAGTTAAGGAGAATGGAAATCACTACAATCCCTAAAATGGTAGCGGCGCGTTGTTAATTATGATTTCGTTGGCTTGTCTTGTGTAGATATCTCTAACTTGGTAGATAACGGACATGACTAATCTACTCGTTGCCAATTGGTTTTCAAAAAGAATTTAAATTTGGAGTTAGTTTGTTGAATCAATGTGATTTCGTTGGGCATTGTTAGGTGAGGGATATCACTACGAATCCCGAGTGGGAAAGAGCTTATCAGTATGAGATACCGGTCTTGGCTAAAGAGAATTTGGATGGCAAAGAGGTGTGCGTTGTTCTAAATTCAATCAAAACCTTTCAAGATTCATATCTAATTATTACTTTATGGCAGGAAGTTTTGCCGAGGTTATCTCCACGTTTAAGTGCGGAAATCATACAGAAGAAGCTACTTGCTGCCTTTAGTTGATCAATTACGTGCACGACAACGAAAAAAGGAGAAGAAAACGTATGTAAGGTTGAACTCTTTTGTGTGCTACTCTCATCTGCAAGAACCGTGTTTTTGCTTCATACTTTCTTTTCTTTTTCCTTTACAAGTCAGTGGAAATATAATTGCTTTATAAACGGTCGATGCTGATTTGCTTCTTACCATACTTTTTCTAGTTCTATACTCTAAGAAAGCTATTGTTGCATTTTGCTTCTTTGACTAATCCATTAATTTGAATGACTCCATGAGTGATTTGCTAGAAATGTCGCCTTATTTGCCTTTTTCCTTTCTCTGTTTTGTCATTGTTAGCTTTTGGTTCTGATTGTTGCCAATACGATGACGTCTAATAGCCACGTAACTTGCTCAGTTTCTTTATAACCATTTGTATCATTTTGTTGCTTTCTTTTGCTATCTAGAAGAAGAAAAAGATTTGATGGACTTTCTTTAGATTATGAAAGTTATCGTTGCGGCAATTTGATTTTGAGATGCTTTCCTCTGAAGAAGTCTTACATTATTACGTTAATCATTCTTAGTTTGAAACCATTTGAAAGCATTATTGCTATTACTTTCACGGAACTGCCAGTTCTTCATCAACTAATTGGATTTGTATATCGTTCCGCATTATCTACTTTTAGTATAGATTGCGATTTTTTCCATAACTTTCATGACTGACCATGACATTTTGTGCAGTGCCATTCCCGATATAGGTGCTGCTATGCAACTCGTCGGTAAGACCTCGCAACTCATAATTCTATTTCTCTTTGCCAAACTGAAAGCAAATTTGCTCATGTAAGCATTCATGATCAAGGATTAAATGCTTTCATTTTTCGTCGATCAAGGATTTTATGATCAAATCCTTTATCGCTCTTCTTGACAAATACATTACTACATTCATACTATGATAACATATTACTATATTAGACAAAACAATATGGTGCATTTCTGATGAGTGAAACCTTTTTTATTTTGGACCTTCTAGAGATCTTGAAGGTCCTGCCTTAAAATGGTCCCTGCATCGACGACATATTTTCTTCACTTGTCACCGTCGTTGTAAATGTATCTACCTGATAAATCTATTACATATTATAAAAATTCTTTATCGATCAATCAATGGTTGCATCTTTTGGCTGTATTATTGAGTTGAGAGCCATAAGATTATGGTTTAGTGGAAAGAATCAGTCTTGATCAAATACTCATCATGTTCTTTAGTGCAAAATCTAATATTCGCTTGAAACAAAACATCTTTTTGCTTAGTTGAACGAAAAGTTTGATGATAGTGTCGTATCTTGAATCACTCATTCTCTTTTTTTTTTCTTATCAATTCTTTATAGGGTGGGTGATAAAGCAATTAGCTAGCTTTTGAGAATACCCTCGTGTACCTTAGTTGGTACAAGTAATATGCATTTTCGCCTAATCAGTTTCGATTTCCTCATTGGCAATGGACGATTTAGCCTGATTACGCGTATGTTTTCCATGAAATTAGCATCTTTTTGCTAGCCTTCTCAAGAATACTAACACGAATCGAATTTATACCTTATAAGTTGTTAATGTGGGTTCCTAACACGAATCGAATTTGAACTTTTGAGACTATTGGTTACCTTGCACCATAGTGCATTGTGAAGTGAGGAATGGTTTGGTAAGATAAGAAAGCAAACGACGTTCTTTGCAATAAGCAGGGTAATTATTTTTTGCCAAGTTCTGTTTTTTTTTTTCTACTACCTTTGACCAAGGGCTCAAATCATCTTTATTTCCTCCTATTAATGAGGATAAAGATGCCCATCTTTTGTTACTGATATAGAATTCTTTAATCATGCTTTATATGATATTGTTTTCTATAAGTTTTACCACTAATTATTTGATTCATTTTTTGGATTTTTTAATTAAGCTTTTTGTGTCTCTCTACTTTGATATATAAAATTCGGCTGTGTTGACAAGACTGCTAATGAATCATTTGACCCTTGAATGGTTACAAGCACCAACAAAAAAAAAACAAAATTTAAACTGTATTATGGTTATGGACGATAGATTATTGAGTGCAAAAAGGAAGTAATAAAAATAGATATATTAATTGACGATCTAATAGATAAGATCAACATAGAAGTAACTATATTGATCTACATTAAATCATCCCATATATATAACTTTTTTTTTTTTGTCAAAATCCCATACATATAACACAATTAGGTTTCTATTTTATTTGTACCAACACAAACTTTTCATTTCTTCATCCACAATTTACATAAATCTGGAGGGTTATGATCAACATCCTCATCGTCATTGTTTTTATAGTTATGGTCAAGCTAGTTATAATGGGGATTACATTAAGTAGATTCCATGAACTATGGTTCATTTTATGCTATATATATAAGTTACCAAATTAATGTTGTTTTATCCGAACATCTATATTATTAATTGGGAATCACTAAATATTAAATAACCTTATGAAGAGTAAAATATTACAAAAAATGCCATTGGTTTTTAGTGTTTTTAAATAACTTCATTAAGGGTACAATAGTAATCACAAAATTAAAATATTTAAATAAAAAATAGTTTAATTCTTTTAAATAATTATTAATTTCCAAAAAAAATAAACTAATTTTCTCTCTCTTATTAATTATAAACGAAAATTTGAAATTAATTTTTAAAAAATTGTTAACCAATAAGAATTGAAAAATTAAGATTTGATATCCAACTAAAGATTTTATCTAAACCAATCGTAATAGACTATTCTATATCAAAAATAAAAAGAAATGAATTATCATTTTAAATCAAAATTAAAAACACTATCGTTTAAAAGATTTATCAATGGAGGACTTTAAAATTAAATTTAAAATTTCGTAAGAAAATTAAATACAAATATTTTAAGATTCAGTTTTGTTATAATATTTTCACAAATTTTAAAATATAAAACAAAATTTTATTTCAAAATTTCTAAAATACGATATTAGATATTAACAACTATTTATATTTATGATGAAATAAACTCAAATAATAATAAATTTAAAGTAATTATCATTATAAGCTTCGTTTAGAGCAAGTTTGATAAATATTTAACAATAGATTGTAAATATTAATTTCTAAATTATTTTGCGTTTTATTTTTTGTTTTCAACCGGATCTTCCTTAAATAAATCCCTAATATATTGCACACAGTTTTCAAATAATGTAAACTAATTATATATTTTGAATTCAAAACAAATTATGCAGCAATAGCATATCCCTTTTAGAGATGTATCTCAAATTTTTATTTTTAGTCCAAAAATCAAATTAATTATGATTAAAAAATAAAAAGAAGAATATGCAAAATTTAGCTAAAGAAAGAAACATTAATAAATTTGTTAAAATATATTTGTAACTTTAGCAGCATATATATTAATCTGCAAAACTCACAGTATGTATTGTATGGTAATTAAAAGTAAGCAAACAAGAATTTGGAACATGATTTTAATGGAATGAAATGAGAATAGGAATTACGAGACAGGATGAGAGGGGAACATAAATTGAAAATCAAACTAAATACCCAATTGGTATGAGTTCAGATTATGAGCACTATATAAAATAAATTTATTTACATACATAATCCTATACGTACGTTTTCAGTTACACATATTCTATTTATGCCGGATACTGGACCGTCATATTTTTATTTCACGTATACGTGACGGGTTATGGGACCAAGAATTTATGACAGATACAGGACGGGATAGGTTTCCCGTTCTAAAATAGTTACGCCTAGCTAATATACATGAAATAACCAAACTCAAACCGAATCTATATCTTATTTAACACATGTAATCAAACTATTAGAAATATTTTGATTAGTTTAGAAAATAAAAAAGTAACATCATTTAACTTTTGCAACTAAATTATATCTTACTTTTATCTTAAATATAATTTCGCACGTACGTGTAGGTCCGGATCTTAAAATATAACTATGCACTAACGCAACTGAATTTCGTTCATTACTCTAATTTTATAATATTTATACTATTATAAAGCTCACTAAGAGCACCCACAATGGTGAATGTGTTAGTATGGGTGTAAATAATTTTTTAGTATTATAATTAGAGAGAGAGAAAAGAGAGAGATAGAGAGAGATAGAGACAAGAAATTTTTTTTCCTTTTTATAATGCCCACACCCGAATGCAACTCTACATGTGGGTGTTGTTGAAAAACCACTTTTTACATTATTTTTCTATATTAAATTACATACACCCGACGCCTACATGCGCCACTGCGCTTGGTCTAACACAACAAAATATTTAATATTTTTAAAATCTATATAACAATTTCTATAAAAATATCTCTGCACGTACGTGTGAATCCAGATCTAATACACTAAAATATATATCATAGAAACAACGAAATAATCTATATTGAATTAAAATTTGTTAGAACTTTTTAAAAAATATGAAACTCCGCACGTATGTGCGGGTCATGATCTAGTTGATAAATAAATTTATTGACCTTTTTCTGATAAAGATAAACAATTCGCCTCAATTCTTTATTGGGAAATTCTCTAAATTGCAACATTTTTTAGTCTTTGTTCCAAAAATACAATCACTAGCTTTTCTGAATAATAACACAAATTTAATATAATAAAATAAATCAAAATCTTTTAAATGGTGGAAGCATAAACTCTAAATTGAAAATAGGGAACCCAAATATACTTTTTAATTTTTATTTGGAATTCATTTTGATTGAACACATATTTTATACAAAGTTTTGTGATATTATTGGGAAAATAAACTAATGATGGTACTTCTTAAAAGAAAACTTAATATTGTGGTCTTTTAGGATATTTTTTTCTTTATATTTCATATAAATGTTAATCACATCATTTAACACTCATATTCACGATAACTAATTATAAAAAAAATGTATTCTTTTCATTTTTTAAATATCGTTAAAGCAAAATAAATTAAGATTTACAATAACTAATTTGCATTCTTCTAAATATTTGAAATATGATGACTACTAAAAAACTCAATAACACCAAAAACTTTAAATAAAAAATATGTATATATATTATATGAAAATAAAGCCTCGAGTGGTGTAGTACTCTTCTAGTTATACGTAAAAACAGAATGGAAACTTTTTCATGTTAAAAGAAAAGTATTGTTGATAAGGAAGTCCATATAATGCATGCTTAATATGCAGCAACTACAAAGAACACTTTGAAGTGCCCATTTCTTTATGTCTAATGTC